TGCTCGAGCTGCACACCAGCTCGCTCGGGGCTCACTCGGCTGAGGATTCGGCCGCCGGCCGGCTTGCCCTCGCCGTCGGGTCTGCGCGGAGTCTTTTTTCGGGATTCGAGCCTCCCCCGCTCTGTTCCCGTCCCGGGTTGGTGTTCAGTCCGAGCCTGACTGTTCTTCACCTTACTACATACATACATACATCGTCTCCCCCACACTGTGTCCGCTCTTTCCCGGAAGCGGCGCGCGCGCGCACACACAAAGACGCTGCCCCCTCACACCCCGCACCGCACATCACACACCCCTCGTGGCCGTTCTTCAGTCTGCGGCCAGGGCGCGCTGCACCGGGCCAACCTGCGGCCGTCGCCACGTGCGGCGGGGCTCACCGCGGGGCAGCGCGCCGACGACGTCGAATCCGCCCGCGCCGCGCGCCATCTAATGGGCGTCTAGTGCAGCCACTGACGGCACTATTCCAAAGGAGCGGTCGATGCCTCGCCTAGAGTTCGGGTGGACGTGCGCACTGCTTAGCCCTGAGGGGGGAGTGTGCGTGAGGTGGTGTAATGTTGTCCCGAGGCGGCAGGTCAGGGGATTAGCCGGGAGGATTCGGCAGCTCAGCCGGGGGCTGAGCGTCTGCAGGCAGCCTTCCGCCCGCGCCGAAATTCACAGCCCTCCCGGGCCGACGGGGTGCTCCTTGGATCGGGCCCCGCTCCCCGCTTTTCCTGTACCTGGACTGTCCAGTTCGTTTATTATTCGTAAGCCCGTGCCCGTGCCCATGACATGCACGTGCACATGCACAACATCCATGCGCGACCTCTTTGTACGGTACGATTCCCGTAGGTGAGGACTCTGCACAGGGTTTGCGATGAAGAGCGAGCAGAAGGGTTTCTCAGCGCAACTCCCTGCTAAGTGCTAAGTCTGCGCGACTCCTCAATGAGACGCAACTCCTTACGGCAGGCGGTGACAGCGGAGGAAACCTCCGCCGCCCAGGAGGCCGAGAGGGAGCACTTGCATGACACCAAGTCGTTCTCCGCTAATCAGCTGGGCAGGATCTTTACCGGTTGGTCCGGATGGCTGGATACCCTCCGGGCCAACAAGATGCTCGAGGCTGACGAAGAGCGCCGTGACGAAGAGCGCCGTGACGAGGGCGTCCCGGCGCAGTTCAAGATATCAGGTGCCAACGAGACACTAAAAGTGTTCCGCAAGCTGCCACAGGTTGCCTCCATGAACGGCGGAGCTATTCTCGCGTCCACACCACACCTGGCTCCAACGTGGACACGCCCATAGCTCACTACTAGGTCACGCATGGCATCAGAAGTTTTATCTCTGGGCCCCGAAAGACATCTCTAGCAGCGTCGTTACGCATGCCCCCTACCCATCCTGGGCGCATGCGCCTCACGTCTCGACAGGGCATAAGCCCCTGGTGTGTGGCGAGACGAGTTTTTCGCCATCGCAGCGAGCAGCAAGCCACTCGCCGCAGCAGCCGGAGGCATCGCCGCAGCACACACACACACTCACTAGACCGTCCCCCGGCGTCGGCCCAACGCAAGAAAAACGCGCGGACTCCTGCTCCTTTGGTGTGTGTGTGTGTGTGTGTGTGTGTGTGTGTGTGTGTGTGTGTGTGTGTGTGTGTGTGTGTGTGTGTGTGTGTGTGTGTTTGTGTGTGTCACTCACTCACTCACACACACTCATTCCTTTGGCTACATGCTTTCTTTCTTTCTTGCTTGTTGCGGTGCCAGTAGGTCTGTGTCCACGCCCCCTGGAGCGGCCCGTGCCCGCGAGTTCATTTTAAATTATCAGTGTATGTAGCTCTTACGAACATACCCGAGGCGCGAGGGTGAACTGCTGACAGGGTTTGCGATGAGAATTATGAGCGGGAACGCAGACCCCCTAGATATTGGGGCGGGGAACGGCAACGCCGCTAGCCCCCCTTCCCCCTGCGCCCACCAAAATTGAGTCCTCCCAATAGTTACACATTTTTTGAGCTTAGCCTTCGATGTTATGAAACAACGCAAGGCGGACATGGCATATCGCTCTCGGGCCCACAGACATCCCGCACACCCGCCGCACACCCGCCGCCCCCCGCGCGCGCCCCACCCCGGCCGGGAGAGAGGGGAGTGACAGTTTGGGATGGCAACAGACCGAGTATGTTGAGTCCTCACAGGCCACCTCTCGCGCCCCGATCTGACCCTCTACCGCACTGATCACTTCCGCCCCCTCGCTCCCAACCCATCCACCTCGCCTCGGGCCACGCCGCGCGATCTCGGGCGATCTCGCGCAATCTCGGGCGATCTCGGAGCTCCACGCCACGCCGCCCCCCCCCCCCCCACCCGAACTCGCCCACCGGCGCGCCGCGCTATCTCGGGCGATCTCGGAGCGTCGCTCGCGCGGCGTCACACCTGCTCAAAAAAGGAAGGGCCTGGAACGGCAGGTCGGCGGCGGTGCCGTTGGGGGTCTTTCCTTGGACCCGATCACCGCCCTGACTGCCGTCACATCATCGAAGCTACGGCGCTGGCCACTCGTTGGATCATTGGCTTGTGTTTGCGTGTCGAGTGCACGACCGCTAACTGTGCAGGCCGATTAAAATGTCGTGCAGTAATGTACAATGTACATAGGCCCCTTGCGATTTTCCCGAATTTTCGAGCAGTCGATGCTCCGTTCTGGCTTCTGCACAGGGAGAAGAGGGATGCCAACGTGTGCGTGATGCGCGCGGCAAAGGTGGTCTTTGCCCCATGGTGGCAGGGCGCGCTATTAATATTACGCGATTATAAAGCCGTACTCGTGCAATCTCAAGCCATCAACGTGTCTGGCGGGTCCCACCCGAAACGAAGTTAATCTCTATACCAATTACCATCCATCCAAAGCGCAGGCCGGCACCAAGCCCGCCTCGACCTCCACATCTCCCGCACTCGGCCCATGGGCGCCACTCGACCCTCCGCCTCCCTCTCGTTCCTCCTCGCCCGCCTCTGCTCCCTCCAATCCCCCGCCCCCGCCTC